TGCTAGTTGGGGTGCATACCTTTTTAAGAAAAACGTTATAGCCATGTCATTCGCACCAAGAGACTCACATGAAGCTCAAGTCCAATTTGCTTTGGAAAGAGGCGTACCAGCAGTTATTGGTGTACTTGGAACCATAAAATTGCCATTTCCATCAAGGGCCTTTGATATGGCTCATTGTTCACGTTGTTTGATTCCATGGACTGCAAACCGTAAGCATCTCTTCTTTTTTCTGGATCTTGTTGTTCTTTCGATCTTTTAATCTAACTAGAAATCTGACTGGTGTAGGGGATTGCTCCACTTGAGAGATCCCCACCTATCTTATTGGATATTATGTGCTTTTGTTTAGCATTCACAGCACTTCTTTTGGTGTATATATGATACCCTGGTGATACCAACTAATTCAGATTAAGACTTAGTTTTGTTGTAACATTTTCATTAGATCTGGTATTTGTGGGATTTTTTCTGTTTGGTGAAAGACTTGTATGTTAGCCTAGGGTAAATATTATATTTGGAGAACCTCTACTTACAAATAATTCAATGTGATAACAAAATAGATCCGAATAGAATGCAATAGATATGCAGTATTCATATAGCTGACTCCAACTAATTGAGATTATCCAAAATAAGTTTGCTGATTGATATGATACCTTGGCTTTGGGAGCAGAAATTGTAAGAAAATTAATCAACTTAGACCAAATTATTACCCAAAAGATATTGCTCTACAAGCTTTTATTTGGCAAACTTATCCTGTATTTATGGTACATGATCTCCTGGTAATTCAGCAAGCATTCTCTAGTACCAATTGCCAACCAAGGATAATCCTAGATTGATTTTTCCTTTCCATTTTGGATTGAAAAATGATTCCCACTTGAAACTTTCAAATGAAAACTGTCCTATGCTAATAAGCCTAATATGTTCCCTTAGTTAAAGAATACACCTTCTTTAGTCTCATTTTATAAACATTGCAAGTGAAAATAAGATATTTTACTCGTCATATTTATACTTGTATGTGCATCTAAATATACATGATTCATGTACCAAGTCAAATGCTTTAGTATTGTGCAACATGCAAAACATGTCTTCATTTTTCTTTCTTTGGGTCCCCCCCTGGTGTTAGAGAAAGAACTTTAGGAATAAGGCACGTCTCTTTTGTTTTGGTAAGTGTTATTCAGAAAGAAGATAGTGCATGTGCAGGCCCATGAGGACTGGATATTTAATCTATTGGCTGTTTCTGTATTTTGAAATTTTTTAGTTACGTTCTTCCTTCAGTTATTTCTTATTATTTTCTGAAAACTTCTGAATTTCTCTTTTTAGGTGGACTGTACATGATGGAAGTGGATCGAGTTCTCAGACCAGGGGGGTATTGGATACTTTCAGGTCCTCCCATCAGCTGGCAGACTAGTTATAAAGCTTGGCAACTACCTAAAGAGGAGCTGGAGGAGGAACAAAGAATGATTGAAGAGATAGCTAAGCTTCTCTGCTGGGAAAAGAAGTACGAGAAAGGTGAGATAGCTATATGGAGAAAACGTGTTAACTCCGAGTACTGCAGTGAACGAGATGCCCGTGTAACTCTATGTGACCTCTCGAATTCGGAAAATGTCTGGTAACTCCTTGCACCTTATAATGTTACTCATCCAAACATTTCAGTTGTCAAATGGCCGAATAATTAGGATTTTCTTCTCCTTTATTGTGTTATTCAATGGATGTACAAAGCTGTAATTGGCAAGTATAATATCAGTTATAGAGGATTGCTTTTATGATTTTTTCCAGTCTCTTTAGTTCACGTATCTGCCCTTAAGATTTTGAGTGGCAGAGGTAATTGATTACAATGCAATAGTCAAAGGGAATACTAATTTCTGTCTGACAAATGAGTTTCTTGTAATATATGTATCCTTCTATTTTGTTGCCGTGTCCTCTGTCTTTTTTCTTCTATGGCCAAGCATGTTACATACCTACAAGCACTTGATGTTCCATGCTGAAATCAGTCCCTTCCCTTCTTTTAGCGATTATGATATGTTGAAAACCACAAAGTGGGGTAAATAGCCTCTTGTGAAATATGCGTACGACACTGCTTCATTAGAAGTACTGAATAGCATTACCTTTTGAAAATAAAAGGGGATCTGGGGATTTTGAGTTCTCTACAACTTTGGTGATAAAGTTTTTGGTTTCCATCTGATTACATGATATTAAGCCAAAAGATTGCTATAGGTATAAGAAGATGGAGGCATGTGTAACTCCGTATCCTGAAACAATCAATTCGGAGCAAGTTTCTGGTGGAGAGCTCAAGCCATTTCCGGAGAGACTTAATGCTATTCCTCCAAGAATAGCAAGTGGATCTCTTACTGGAGTCTCTGTTGAATCATTCCAGGAGGACAACAAGTCATGGAAGAAGCATGTGAAAGCTTATAAGAGAGTTAACAAGCTCCTTGACACTAGGAGGTATCGCAGTATACTAGATATGAATGCTGGCCTAGGAAGTTTTGCTGCAGCGCTAGAATCATCTAAGCTATGGGTCATGAATGTTGTGCCAACTATAGCTGAAAGGGACACTCTTGCTGTAATATATGATCGAGGCCTGATTGGCATATACCATGACTGGTAATTATATGAAGCTCCCTCATATTTTCTCATTGCTCTGTCGCATCAATTCCTCCTTTGTATTATTTTTTCTGGACAGTAAGTTGTATAAGAATAAGTAAAGATAAAAATGTTGTGGAAACATGAGTATGTTACAATTCATTTGTCCAACAGTTTAAGTTTATTTTGAGAGATGATTCCTTTTCTGTCTTTCTATTTTGTTGGAGTTGCCTCAGATCCTGTGCTAGTTTAAATTCTTAGACATGCTTAGCATAGCTTAAAGTTGTTAAATAATGATAACTAATTTTTCGCTTCTGATATGTTCCTCTCTCACTTATCATTGAAACAAAGCCCTTGAATCTTCCAGTTTAGTGATAGTGTAATTGCGTTTTCTTTTTATTTTACTCGCTGAGTAGTTGCTGCTTCTTGATACATGACATATAGGAGGATGCATCTTCATTGCATGTCCCACAAATATAAACATAAAAATTTATATTGAAGATAGGATACTGTAAGGACCTGTTGAACTCAGAATGGATAGAGCTATATATTTGTAAGGCCAAGTCAAGCTGACAAAAGCAGAACAAAGATAACAAAAGCTCATCCAGCACTTGATTGAACCTTTGACTTCATAACAGTAATCAGTACATGCCCTTTGTAGTGATTTTGAGACGAGAGGAATAGATCTGTCCAGGATGGGGAAGACTTCAGATGCAACCAGCTTTTCATATTCATATACCTGTGTAGTTTCTCTCAGGACCATATGAAAGGGAATTGGTCTTGTTTGACCTTTACTCATTATCACTACTCTATATAGTCCTTTCATATAACATCGAAGATATTATTTCTACTCTCTGTGTTGCATGTCTCGGCATTCTCAGTTGACATTAATAGTGTTAGAGGACTGCAGTTTCTATGTCTTGCAGCCTTTCTGAATCCCCCTCTTGCATATGCATCATAGGTAGCTTGAGGTTTTACCTAATAGGGAGATTTGCATGATTTCTTGTGTTTGTGATGCTAAAATTGCAACAGTATGAGCCAACCCTTCTCTGTTGGTGCTGATGTTCTTAATTCTTTTATGTTTTTTTTTTACGAATAGGGGGGATTTTGGTATCATGTGAATTTGCTATCTTGAGCTTTCCTCTCTTATTGTTAGTTCATCTTTTTTCCAACTTTCAAATTCAGGTGTGAAGCCTTTTCTACCTACCCTCGGACATATGACTTTATTCATGCAAATGGGATCTTCAGCTTATACAAGGACAAGTAAGTTCTTCAGACTCCACTTAATCTGTAGAATCTAGGACATTGCAATTTAGCATCTGCCAATAGTCTGTCATGGAGACAACTCCTTGCTGTAGGAGGGCACCATATATATAGAAAATAGATGATACAGTTCTTTTTTCTTTTTTTTTTTTGTGTGCGTGTGTGTGTGGGGGCGGGGGGGGGGGGGGGTGGGCATACATCTAATCGACGTGCACATAGAGTTTGACCTTGTTAAACTTTTTGATCATGCCACTACTGCTATTGCATCTGAGTTGCTTTACTTGCAGATGTAATACCGAAGACATTCTACTGGAGATGGACAGGATTCTTAGACCAGAAGGCGCAGTTATTTTCCGAGATGATGCAGATATTCTTGGCCAAGTAAAAAGAATTGTATCTGGAATGAGGTGGAAAACAAAAATGGTAGATCATGAGGATGGTCCTCTTATCTCTAAAAAGGTATTGTTTGCTGTCAAAAGATACTGGGTTGTTGGAGATAACAACTCAACCATCTTACGGTGAATGGTATGACAAAGCAGCTTATTTGGCAGATAGTTAGCTATCTGGTTCTTGGCCAGAGTTGGTATTATTCTTTTCCTGCGGGAGTTCAGAGTAGACAACAACAAGCAGCGATCTTTGCTGTTTCTCATGGTATCTTTTTTTATTCTTCTTACTTAGAGGTTGCAGGTAAGAAAAGTTTTTAGATCTCTTATGCCTCATTGGATGTCTATTAAAGGGCTTCATTTTGATCTCCTTGTGTAGTATTGTTATCATCACTAAATTCTTTTCTTGTTTTGCTATATACCATGAATTATAACAGTTCATAAATTCCAGCTGAGCAGAATGAGTTATGGTTGGGGATCTGCTTACTTTCTAATGTCCTATTCTACGAGAACATCTTAACTAATTGAAGCAGTTTATTACAGAACTAGACGTGGTCATAGCACAACATCTAGGAAAACACTGAAATTAGCTGATTACAAAATGGAGGTTTATAGGAAGATGGTATTTAGTAAATGTAATCACACCCTGGCAGATTACTCTCATTGTTGAAACAGTTCACTTTAGCCAAATGATTTTCTGAATAAGATTTAATTTAGATTTTTTATATAATACTCCAAATATATTAGTGAAATCTGGTAGCTTTTCAAGTCTATGAGTGTTTCACTAACTGAAAGAAGTGGAACTCAACAAATAGCTCTAGATATGCAACCGTCTCTCCATTTTGTGTTGCTGTACTTGGTAATCCAACTAGTCATGTACCTGACAAGATCTCCAAAATCAGTCTGTAAAATTGAAACGTCTAACCATCTGCGGGGCAGGCAAATCATTCAATACTGAATTTTGTAAAGGCATCGAAATTCATTATGGTGTGGATCGTGTTATCTTGAGTCCCTACCTTTTGGGGGTTCACTTGGATGAGTGGTGGACCTTTGTCTTTGTTTTTGAGTTTTCTCTTGAACCTCTTGTTATCTGATGCCTAGCTATCCTCATAAGCCGTTGCATTTATTCTATGTAATTAATATGTATTCTTCATGTGGATGTATTGACTGTCAAAAACTGCTAACTGTTAGGTATAGAATGGAAGATCTATTTAGTTGAAAGAACATCTGAGGTACTGTAAAGTCTCTGTGATTTATCGTGTTAGATTTGGTGAGAGATTACAAGGCTGTCAATATTAGGCTTCTCTAAACACGTAGGATCCACCACCTTAAAGCTAAAGGACCCCCCATCCCCACCCCCACCCCCAACAAAACACAAAACCTCTGCACTGTTCCCTTGTGATTCCATGAAAAGCCAATATTATAAAGGAGTGCATAAAGAACCTACAGAAAACAAAACTTCTTCAATCAGAATTTCATCTTTTTGACATAAGCCTCCCTTCTGATATTTTGACACCTTTGTGTATGTTGCTTACCTGCTTTCCATGAATCCTTTTGATCGATACCTTTGAAGATACTAATACATACAACTCCTCTCGAACTATAGTTTCTTATAGTTCAAAATTTCTTTAACTCTCCAGAAGTAAAAATCATATTTGTTTCCATGTCAGCCGATGATAATGCAACCGGTCTTCGTGTTGCATCATTTTCCTGTTACCTCAGCAACCCTGAGGAGAGCTTTGTACACAAACTTCATGGGGTTGCAGTTGAGCCTGCTTTTAGTTCACCCCCCGAGACACCATTTTCTGTTACTAAAGTAAACGCTGCCAAGGTAGCTACTGCAAAGCCATCCTTAAACAGCACCAGAGATAACCCTGCCAATCTTCGTGTGGAGTCTTTCTCTTCTTATCTCAAAACCGGGGAAGACAACTTTGCGTTTAAGGCTTCAGGAGCTCCAGTTCGAGATCCCACTATTTCTTTTGTATTTCCTCAACAGCCTCCGTTTCATAATGCAAAGCAACTGGAACAAATCAAGTCCAAAGACGGGGAGATTAGCATATTTGGTGCTGACAAGTACTTCAACATGCAACTGGATTATGGAGCTGCCTCTCCAGCTGGGGTGAGGTACAGGGGGAGACTAAATGAAGGAACAGTAGATGTGCCCCATGTGAAGCAGAATTCCCAGTCAGGAACTCCTACCATTTGTTCTGAGTCAAGCAGCTGGAATAGCCAAAATGTCCTGTTACAGAATCTTCGGCGAAATGTAGTGTATCCGACAAAGCAGAAGAAGATGACAAGAATGAGATTTTTGCCTACTTTCAGCTGTCAAGGCCCTTGTTTGGACAAGAAAGCAGTCTATGTGAATGAGAGTATAGGACTTGGATTTTCCCAGCCAGGATCAAAGCATGGATTAAGAAGTCCTTTTGCCTTGAGTTCTGGCTCTTGTGGAACAGAGGTTCAAACACACTGGGATGATCATAATCTAAGCATTGAAGACCAAAGAAAGTCACTGGAAGTGTTTGGGTCTGGCAAAATGGGAAAAGGAGATATAGCAGTGAACTTAGAGAGGAAACTATCTATGTTAACCTGGGACGCCATTCCCAAGGTCCAAAACCTCCCTACAACCACCAATGGAAGCAGCACGGTCTGTGATGACATGGCTAGTGATGCTAGCTCTGATTTATTCGAAATTGAGAATATATCCAGCAGTGAATATGGACTTGTGAATACACAAACATTAGGTGATTATAGCAGCTGCATGTCTCCAACAACTCAGTATGATGCACCAAGTGAGGCCAGCATTGAGTGGAGCGTTGTCACAGCCAGTGCTGCTGATTACTTGTCGGTTATCTCAGATTATGATGAGAAGAACTTTGGCTTTGGTGGTTACACATATTCAGGAAACACAGCCAAGAAAACCACCAAAACCAAGAACCCTGCAGGCAAAGAGGTGCAAAAAACTTACCCTAGTACTGGGCTTTTAGGTTGCAAGACCCAAAAAGCAGTAAATGTGGCTGAAACTGTGCATAAGGCAAAACAAAGATGAATTTTCCTCTTTAGTTCAGTAAAATTGTGAGAATAATAAAAAAAGCTTAATGGTTTGGTTGGAGTTGTACTTTGTACAATCATAGCTTAATCACTATCTTCTTGTCTTCAATAAAAGAAAAAGTTTGTATTATTGTAGCTAATTTGTCTTCCTCTCAACTGCTATTCAGCTAGTACTCGTCAGTAAGTGTCTCTTTATGTCAAGAAAAGCCTCAACACCCTTCATATATTAAAATCATATAGTTTCAAAGCTCAGGTTAATTTAAAACCACAAAAATAAGTAACCAAGGCCAACCTTGTCTGAAGAAAAAAGATAACATTATTATTTTTGTTTGTTTTATGTTTCTCCCTGATATTCCATAGTTATTATTATTTGAGCATCTCATCTATATATCTTGAAACAAAGCTACTTTCCAAAAGACATGTTTGCCTCACTTTAGAGTCATCAAATCCAAATATCAGACTACCATTTTTCAACCCTAAAAGGCCCTACTTCAACAGAATTTTGCTTCAAATAGAGATACACATTGGAATTTAAACGTATGCCCTCAAGTGATGTTGTCTGCCTTGTTCCTTGGCAAGGTTTTCATGACTGTTTGTTAGGTAAAAAGTAATTCAAAGTCGTAGGAAATCAAAATTGGTTAGAATCTGATATTTAATTCATGTCTAGATAGGATTTATAGTAAAAAAAAAAAGAAGAGTAACTACGTTTTCCGGGTTATAGTTTTATGCACAATTATAACTAGGAGTGTTTTTACCTATTTTCATATAGTCGAAGATAATAAAGATTATCCAAAGATTTATAATTATATATATAAAGTATTCGCTATCATTCGACCAAGTTGGTTGGACCCATATGCTACACCAAAATTAATTAGAAAATTCCACTTGAACTGTTTTATATGTAGCAGGTGTACTTCCCAAGTTTATCAAACTATTTTATCCAAATATAAGAGTTTGTTGAGCTCCTATCTAATATTTATTATTCCACAATTTGAATAGTTTGTAATTGAAATTGCGGGTTAATTCTGTCAAAATATAAAATAAATAAATAATTAAAAATGCATTTTATTTTTAACAACCTAAGCTTTCATATTAGATTATTACTCACTTTTACTTTCTATAAAAGAAGGTAATTAAGAGATCATACATAAATTCTAATCTCACTATTTATTTATTTTTTAAAAAAGATCACATAAGTTGATCATAAAAAAAACGCAGGTAAGGAAGCGTGTTTAAATATAGGGAAAAGGCACAAGTAGCTCGTAGGCCTACACTATAACCGAAATCTCAAAGACACACCTTAATTAAACCAAGGTCCTATTACCCTCTGAACTCATTTGTTTTGTAATTTTATACACCTTTTGGCTTACATGGCACACTTCGTGACTCCACATAGTTGAGGCGCGTGGATGATGTTCGGATACCATGTAAGCTAAAAAGGTGTACAAAATTTTAAAAAAAAATGAGTTCAGGGGTAATAGGACCTTAGTTTAGTTAAGGTGTGTCTATGAAATTTCAGTCATAGTCTAGATAGGTACTGTGCCTTATTCCTTAAATATAATACTACATTTAGTAACTAAAAATTGGTACTACTATTTTTTTTAATAACTTAAGGTATTTATATGAGATAAAATATTGAGATGATCATATACTCCCTTAGACTCAAGTCTCAACTATGCAAATATTGTACTACTATAATTTAAGCAAAATCATTTCAAGTCACTACGATTTTGCATCAGAATCTCCCCAATAGGATAAGCTTTGGAAAAAACATCAAATATATGGCATTAAATAATCATTTTATAGTGGCTTCCATTGTCCTATTTGAGAACACAAAAAGGAAACTGACATTATTTAGCTCGTCGACATGGTGGGAATGTATAACATGCTGATCAATCTGTTAACGACTCCAAACTGTTGAAACAGATAGGTCTTGATGCTATAGGGGGTGAGTAGAATTATATATATATATATATATTAAGTAGGAGTTCAATAATTGGAAGAATCAAAAGGAAATGTCAATCAGCTGACATAACCACATGACAGTCATCCTTCTATGTAATTTCACTAGTGAAATTTAAGAAGGATATGATGTATAATTATGTACATAGTTTTATCTTATCTTATAAAGGTAAAGAAACTAATTTTCATAGATTTTCAGCTCATATCGCATTTACAAGACTGAATTGTGATGGACGAAATTCATTAATCCTCTATTTGAAGGTGAATATAAGGAGAGTATTATAAATTCATCTGAACTCATTATTTTTCAATCAAATTATATAAAAAATAAATATCTAAAATTATGTGTTCTAAACTGGGCCAACTCTAGACTTTAAAGTCGTCTCTATCTCTATCTCTAGTCTCACTTTCATAAAACAGTGTGCTGGGCTGTAAAATTGGTGTGCAATAAACTAAACAATGATTTTTCTTTGAACTAATTATCAAACCATCGTCTATTGTGACGCATAGATACAATATCATCGATTTCAAATATAGTAAATGACAAAAAATTTGACGAAAATTTTGCCTTCGCATATATCAGGCTCAATCAGAGACAAATAACATATCGTATCGATAAAGGTGTCACGATACAAAATTACAAAGGTCCCCTATTTTAATTATTACGGATTAATAGTGAAGAAGAAAAGCTGCATGTCGTGATCGAGTAGTTAGCAATATTATGGAGTCACATGGTTGATATAGGCCTTGATTTAATATAGCAAAAAGTTAGAAACTAAACTAAATATATAGTAGAGTACTATTCAAATAACAAAATATTATGGTATACTATGTGTTAGTTGTTATCTGATAAGATTATTAATTACTCTAAGTTGTTATGACATTGAAAGAAGAATGTTTGGAGGGCCTTCAAAGGAATGTTGGATATCTTCCACCAAATTTGAGGATGGAATTTCTCAAGTACTATTAAATTGGTAGGCCTAGTAATGGGAATGTTTTCTTCAATATGGACCAATTGGAGTTGTGTATCAATGTCAATGTAAAAGTTTGAAGATAACCATATTAATATTTAATTAGGACCACTCTTTTTTTATAAACATAAAATTCTATTTACATACTCTAAGCATGGTTGTCAAGAAAAGGACTCACATTAATAGGGAAATAAATCAGTAGACGGGTGGATGCACAATTGCACATTATTGACTTTGTTACAACTTTAGGGGTGTCCTTTCTATATTTTCCTCATTTGGCTTAAAGTACGTGGATGAATAGTTATCTCTATAATTACCGGTATTAATATGTATATACAATTTATATCTTGAAAAATGATGTATACTTATACAGTTATACCCAAATCGTACATGTTGTTACACTTGTTAGGACATAATAGTGAAATATAGCACATCACATAACTTATTGAATTAAATTTTGGGTCATTCACGCAAATGCCCCTATTTTGGGTTGTTCCTCAAATTTGTGATCTTCTAAAAGTTAAAATAACTCGATATAAGTTTGTATTTTTGTATCATAATATAACATAAGTTATACTTTACAAGGCATAAAAAGTTATGTTGCTTAGTTCCTATAGAACTTATGCCAGAGATAAAAGTTCTCTAAACTTATGTTGAACGAAATTAAATCAGAGATAAGAACTTTGTTCCACAAAATTTCATTAATTGAGCAATATAAGCATAAGTTAAAGACCATCATATTTAATTTGATAGACAAAAATAAAAGACTACCACCATGGAAAAACTTATTCAATTTCATGAATCACCTATGGTTTATGATCTTGATTGCTTGTTTCGATTAAATCTTCTCGTAAAAGTATTTGAACAATATTTGAAGGGCTTTACAAACAATTGGTGGATCATGGGTCATCTTAGTGAGTCCAACTCATATTTTTGGATAAAGAAGCCTTGTATTTTTTTTGGGCTGATAGCAGAGGAAGCCCACCTATGATGGGTTGGTCCAAAAGGTTATGTTCTGATGAGATGAAATATTAGATTTAGACGAAACGATTACAATAATATTCAAACTTATTACTAACAGTTGATTTTGAAAATTTTCATTTTCTTTCAAAGACAGAATATTATACGTAGTATTTATTTTTGGCAAAGCGCATATTGGAATTTCACAACCAATATTTTTTACAATTTTTGTTTTGTTATCCAACCCTTGCTCAAGTATTACATGTATCAAAAAAAAAAAAAAATACTCAACAAACGTGTATTTTTAAATCGTTTTTTTTATGGTTATATTAGTTTTTTTTTTTTAATTATAGGAGAAATGAATTATCATAATAATAATAATAATAACATTTACGTTTCAAAAATAAATATGACAATATACAAACATAAATCAATGTGTTTCTACAGAGAGAGAAATTGAAAGATTAAAGTGAAGTAGTCAGGCTCAAGCTCAACACGGTCACAGTCCTAAGACGCGCCCGCGCCACTTTCCAAAGAGAGAAACGTGAGGGTTTTAGCCCATTTTAGGGTTTAAGACCTCATAAGAAACAAGGGATAGCACCGTGCAGCAGCTATCTCCAAAGAAAAAAGAAAAGAAAGATGGGTGCAGAAGCCAAAAAGCAGAAAATGGCAGAAGAGGAAATCGGCATTGATGGGAAGCTGGTTATTTCTGTTGAGAAACTGCAAGAGGTTCAAGACGAACTCGAGAAGGTACACCTATTTTTCTCACTGAGAGAAAACTTCTTCTACTTTCTATGCGTTTGTATCAGTTGCTTGTTACTTAGATTTTAAGCTTTAACTTTGACTAGTTGCTGTGTTTCCCTTTTGGTTGGAGCCTACTTATATAATTAAGATAAGTTCAAATAAAGAAATTCCAATTATGGAACAAGATGTAAACTTAAGAACCGGAAAGACTTCAAAGATTTGGGTTGATAAAGGTGAAAGGGAAAGGAAGAAATGTAGAAAAGAGTTGGGTTGTCTTTTTCCAGAGGACAACAAAATTTACTACTGCCCCTGTCCCAATTTATGTGTCAATTTTCCTTTTTTCGAGAGTCAAACCGTTTAAGTATGACCGAAAATTTGCGTGCGGAATCTTCAATTATTTTGAAATGAAATTTATATATTTGTAAACTACTTATAAAAGGTACTATAAGTCACAATAATTAAAAGATATATGAAAAATTTACGGTCAAAAATAGGCTTATTTGTATCTCAAAATCCGAAAAGTGCCACATAAATTGAGACGGAGTGAGTAGTAAATATTTCAAAAGAATAGTAAAACCTATGTTTCTATATTTTGACTTGAGGATCCCAAGGGTTTAGAATTGCCTTTAATTTTGTAATTGTTGCATACTCTGAGCTATTGATGGGAGAGATGGTTCGGGTAATTGGACCAAGCAAGGGGAGATGGTTCTTATGTGGTTGCCCTCGAGCTTTTGTGTTGCTTGGGTTTTTCTGTCTTGTGGACCATTGCAAAACTAGAAACATAAGTTTGGCTTAGACTTGGGGTGAAAAGGAGGCAGTGGGAAGGGGTTAATTTTAAAGTTCAAGTAATATTGTCATTGAAGAGATAATCAGAGCAAATTAAATAAAGAAAATACATCAAAAATAAACAAGAAAGCTTGAAGTGAGTGGGGGGAATGTTTCAAAGAATCATCACCTCTTGCTTGAGATTGAAAGACTGTAACACCCATTCTTCTGTTTGTCATTTCCTTTTAATCAATTGTGAAATGAGAAAAACAGTTGTGTAAAGTTGTAGGCAAATCAAAGACTCATGACCAGCTCCAATGATGGTCCTTTTAGTTCAAAGGAAAAGCTCAACATAAAATGATTTAGGTAGCAGCAGTAAGGGTGGCAACGGAACCGGGAGGTTCCGGTTCCGGTTCCGGTCCGTTCCGGTCCGTTACCGGTTCCGTCTCGGTTCCGGATAGTGCCGGTTAATTCCGGACTTGTTCCGGTCCGGGAGGGGTAACGGGACGGAAACCGGGATTTTACCGGTCCGTCCCGGTCTGGTTAGTCCCGGTTCCGTCCCGGTCCGGTCCGGTTCCGGTCCGGTTCGGAACTTTTTTTTTTTTTTTTTTAAAATCTGAAAATTTAAAAAATAGCCGTTGAGAGCCGTTGGGCAACGGGTTTTGGGCCCCACCAACGGCTCTTTCACCCCATAACCCCCCATTTACACCTCCCTACCCCCCAAACTTTTTTTAATACCCCAAACTTCTTAAAACTACATTTTCAACCTTTTTTTTAACTATAAATTCCCCTAATCTTTCATTCTTTTCACTCACAAAAATATCTTATAATCTCTCTACTCTCTAGTCTCTACTCTCTAAATTCTCTTATTCTCGACTTCTCGTTAAAATTACGAATTTGAACTTTGGAAATTGGAGCTTCAAAATTCAACTTTCAATTTTCGCCTTCCGGTCATACACGTCTACTTTTTTAAGTAGACGTTTGGTACATTCGTTCCAACTCACTTTTCATTTAGTTATTTATTTGTTTACATTTAATTATTTATTTTGTGAGTAATTAATCTCTAGTCTCTACTTATTTAGTTGTTTATTTGTTTAAAACTTTGCTAATCATTTTCGTATTATATATAATTTGCTCACTTTTTATATTTTGAATATGGATTTTGGAAAAAACATTATTGAAAAGGGTAAAACAACCATAGTTAATTCGTTCACTAATTTATCTAGCTCAAAATCCAAGAAAAATAAAAAAACCGGTAGTACTTCTCAATCTAAAACTAAAAAAACTTCTCAATTAAGAATAAATACGGATGATTATACGCATGTTGATGAAACTGTTTTTAATATTGATAGTAATAGTGGATTAGATCCTTATCATGAACATTTACAAAGAAGATTTGGTAATTTTGAAGAGGAATTACCTGAAGATGATGAACATGATGTTAATGATTATGTTGATAGTTTTGATAATAATGTTGATGAATATGATGATGATGAAACTGAGCCACCGTCGGCTACTAGTCCCCCTCCCAATCCCTCTTCCCCGGCTCCCGCTCCCTTTCGTTGTCCTGCTCCCATTCCCCCCGTGCATCCTAGGACTAAGGTAGAACGCGCTAAAAAATCAGTTGTGTGGCAATTTATGACTCAGAATGAAGATAAAACACAAGCTATTTGTAATAAATGTAAACATAGAATGAATCATAAAACTGTAGGAAAACAGGGTGGGACGGGACATTTGAGTAATCATTTAATGTCATGTTGTAAAAATGAATTTTTGCATGCTAAAGCTGTAGCCGAAGCTAAAAAAAATAGTACCACCCTTCCTGAAAATGTAGGAGTAGATGGCTCTAATATGGTCCAAACACAATTAAATCCTTCTAATGTTTCTGGTTCTAGTATACAACGGTCATATAGTAGAGAAAAAGATCTTGAAGAATTAGCTAAAATGATTGTTGTTATGGGTTTGCCATTTAACTGCTTGTTTGTTAAACCCACATTACAAAGATGAAGGTGCAGCACGAATGGTTGATAAAATATATTTTAATTTGGGTATTGATAGTGAAGATGATGAAACACCTAGTTGTCAAGATGTTAAAGATAGTATAAAAATTGAAGCTAGAAAATTGTACGACTTGTATAATAATTCTAATATAAGGAATGTAGTACATAACGAAGAGCCTCAAAGTTCTAGGAGTAGATATAATAATGAAGATGAAATTGATGATATGATAGATTGTATTATTGAACTTTCTCATAATGATAGAAATGATTTTGATGCATATATTAATCAAAATACAGAACCTACTACTATTGATCTTCTAGAATGGTGGAGCAATCGCGGCAAAGAATTTCCAAAACTACAACCGGTTGCTCGAGATGTGTTAGCTATTCAAGCATCTTCAGTAGCTTCGGAAGGCGCTTTTAGTGCAGCAAGATTTCAAATTGGAGAGCATAGATATTCATTAGCAGCAGATAGCTTGGAGATATCCGTACTATTTAGAGATTGGATTAATGGCGAGAGAAGGAGTTATGGTCGTCCACCTCTACCGACCAAATTTGAAAATGACGTTGATGAAATAATGCTAGATTTTAGTGATGACGGCATTGATGCAATGGAAGAACTAGCTAATCAACCAATTCCAGAGCATGTTACTAGAGAAATGTTAAATGATTTAAAAAAAGATTTCCTTGGTAGCATGAACTATTAAATTTAAATGTCTATTAGTATGAGTATAATAATTCGAGGTCTAATTCAAACAGAACCCTTCCTAGAAGGTGGCTGTGTAGATTAGATTTTTTAATACTCTACTAATATTTTGTAACTCAACTTGTACTATTTAATTAATATTAATAAAAGTATAGGCTATTCGCCTTAATTTTTTTTTATTATTGTCTTCAAAAGTTTAAATTTAACTTTTAATGTGTGAAATTTAAACTTTTATAGTTTTAAAGTTTTAAATTTTCAAATTTTTAAAGTGTGAAATTTAAACTTTTATAGTTTTAAAGTTTGAATTTAAATTTTCAAACTTTTAAAATTTAAACTTTAAAGTGTGAAATTTAAATTTTTATAATTTTATAGTTTTAAAGTTTATAATTCAAATTTAAAATTTCTAACTTTTAAAGTGTGAATTGTGAAATTTAAACTTTTTATAGTTTTAAAGTTTGAAATTTGAATTTAAATTTTCAAACTTTTAAAGGGTGAAATTTAAACTTTTATAGTTTTAAAGTTTGAATTTAAATTTTCAAAGTTTTAAATTGTGAAATTTAAACTTTTATACTTTTAAAAGTTTGAAAGTTTGTATTTAAAACTTTAAAAGTATAAATTTTTAAGTGTAATATTCCTAATTTTTTAATTTTAATAAAAAAATATAATTTATAACGGTTGGACCCGGTTTCCGGTCCGGTCCGGTCCGGTCCGTTACCGGTCCGGGACGGGTTCGGGTATTTTTTTCCGGAATTATCGGTTCCGGTCCGTCCCGGTTCCGGTTCGGTTCCGGCCCGTGGTGCCCGGTTCCGTTCCGGTTCCGGAACGTCCCGGTCCGGTAGTTCCGTTACTGGTTCCGTTGCCACCCTTAAGCGGCAGTGAGGTTTGTACAAAGTAAGATAGCCGCTGCAGTTTCAATCTCTCTAATAAGTTCCAATTTTCCATCTATGAAGTTTACTGGTAGTGGCTCTTGTTTTGCTACCAAGCTTACAATAGGGTGTAAGGAAGATATCAGGTATATTAATATACATGGATAGATGGTACATCAGTTGTGATGGCTTTCAAATGTCTTTTGTCCTGTTAGTGGTCGTTTTGTGGCTTGTCCCATGTTTCTTGTTTTCTTTTGTATTATTCCCTCACCTCTTCAGCTGTGTTAGTGTTGTGTTTCTTCGGGCTTGGCGTGCATCACTTAGATTTGAATGCACAAGTCCTTATGATACATGGTTAGATGCCATAGAGATGGTTGTGTTCATAAGAGTAAGAAATGAGAACAATTTTTCTGTCATGTTTGTACCTATGGTGCTATTTCTTGATGAATGGGATGGATGTCAAGTGTCAATAAAACAGATGGTATAGCGATGGGCCGATCCTAGGGAGATGATTTGCAATTTTCGGATGTGCCAGGCAAATTACCGCTATTCTTTTGGTCCGGTTGTTTTGATGTATTGTGGGGAAAATGCTATACTAGAAACTAAGAGGTTTTAGGGCGAGAATCCCAGCGAACTGGCATTAAGAATTCAATGCTCAAGTAATATATATATATTTTTGAAATTGGTAAGATAACAGTGCTCAAGTAATATATTAAAAGAGATAGTTGAAGCAAAATAGTATAGGAAAAACGTGGAGAAGTGATCAAGAAATCTTTGTCAGTATGTTAGTTCACAGTGTGTTTATATGACTTAGTTTTGTCTCGTCATTCTGTAATAGTGAGAGTGCATATTGTTATTCTGGATCATAGCTTCAACACGACGTGCTGTATTGTTCTATTTTGGTCCTTGTCCCCTCTGGATGTGTGGGAGATTCTTCATATTGTTAATAATAGTTGTGGAATGGATGTTCTCGGAGATTTGTTTCTGACAGTCTTCAACAATCAAACATTGACTTTTATCTTCTGTGGGAGGTACTGGGTTTTCAAGTACTCGTTCCACACAAGTGGTGAGTGATTGCACAATTGACTGAATCTGATGAGGTTTGGCGTGACATGTGAATGATTAATTTAAAAACTTTTGCTAGTAGCTTTCCTTTTGATGCTTGGTACTGATGGTATATTTTTTTCTTCTTCGTTTTACATTTTTACTAATTACTAATGCTGTAACAATTTTCACTAGCAGATTAATGAGAAAGCAAGTGATGAAGTGTTGGAAATTGAACAAAAGTACAGTCATGTCCGCCGACCAGTCTATGATAGGCGTAATGATATTATTAAAGCTATTCCTGACTTCTGGCTGACGGCCGTAAGTGATCCAACCTGATTTTCTCTATGTTACTGAAATTTTGAAGTGCTTCTCATCTATGACTTGTGTCATTTGCTTGCAGTTCTTGAGTCATCCTGTTCTTGGGGAACTTCTAACTGAAGAGGACCATAAGGTTTGGTGTACATTAGAAAATATAAAGTAGACAATTGTCAAATCTTCCACTACATTGCTTTTCCTTGCTTTGGCCAATGCTGAAATGACAATTTGACTCCCAACTCTTATAATTTTTTGTGTTCTTCCTATAGCTATTTGGCTTCTGAATCTAAATACGTATGTGACTTTCTTCATGCTAGATTTTCAAGTTTCTAAGTTCGGTCGAAGTGGAAGACTCTAAGGATGTGAAATCAGGTTATACGATCACGTTTGTAAGTTCACCCTCCACACAAAGCTAATGTATCTACTATAAATCAACATAGAGCACTGATGATGATCCTCTTTGTTTTACAGAACTTCAATTCAAATCCTTATTTTGAAAATACAAAGCTCTCGAAGAACTATACCTTTCTTGAAGATGGACCTACAAAAATCACTGCTTCGACAATACAATGGACGGAAGGCAGGGTGAGTTGCCAATTTTCTATTAAGAGCTGTATCACCTGTGGCTTATCAATTTCCTCTCATTAATTATATTGTTTTACTTGTGAAGGGCATTCCTAATGGAGTTGCTCATGAGAAGAAAGGAAACAAGCGATCCCTTGCTGAGGAAAGGTTAGTTTCTTAATGCTTAGTATTTCCATTGGTTTATTTTATCAACAAGACAAGCTCAAGAAGGTCTCTTGATTTTTATTATATATCAGCTATCAACTTTGAAAGTTTCTATAAACTTCAATTAGGTTTTACATACCCTGCTTATCAACTTGCTAGCGGTCACTTCTTTTGATTGTATTGGTTGAAACCTTAATTTGCCCTGTTTCTGCTAGGAAACTTTGTTAGCATTCACTACCAATCAGGATTGGATAGGAAGTTGCTGATATTCACATAGTAATGCAGAGCCCAACTTAATTTATACTGTCATTGTAGACATAGCCCAGTTCAACGTGTTTGCATCAAATGTTAAATACCTTGATGAGAACAGGGGCACGAGTTTTATTATTGATGCTGATGATTATTAGTTAATTCAGCTCTGTAGAAACACTTTTAGCAATAATTTTGCACTGACTGAGTTAGCCCATCAAGTGCATGATGATTCTCATTAGAAGTTAGTTATAAGATGATAAGTGGAAGGATCACATGCTCAGTGGCCTTGAGTTCCCTGGTCTACACTGTAGCACTTGAATAAACATCAGTAGCTGATATTGTATGTCATTCTTGCTCAGTTGATTTCTCCCTTGGGGCTTGTATGTGCAGCTTCTTTAGCTGGTTCAGTGAAGTCAATCAGAAGGACGATGGTGAAGATGACGAGGATGTCTTTCTGGAGATTCAAGATGAAGTAATGTCTTTATCTTGTGTCCATTACTTGACTGAGATTTTTATTTCTTATTTATCATTTTACGATTTTCACGGATAAAGTATAGTATTTGTAGGAAGATTCCATTTTCCCAACTTATAGTATTTTTCGATAACATATAGTATTTTATTTCCATTTCCCCCCTCCGTTTTGTAGGTTGCTGAGATAATCAAGGACGACTTGTGGCCGAACCCTCTAACTTATTTTAACAATGTTTGTTCCCTACCATCTTCATTCTTGTTTTCCGTGTTGTACTAGTCGTTAAGTCACGGAAGCCGGTTTATTATCTCTGATTGTTTGCCTAATGTTACTTTTTCCAGGATCCTGATGAAGAAGATCTTGAGGAGGACGAAGGTGGTGATGAGGTAAAGATAGTTCATTCTTCATGATTGCAATAGTTGTGATAACATATCTAGACTGTAAGCACATGCATACTTATTTGTTTGCAACTGTAAATATGTCTCTTTTTTTCCCGACAAATGTTGCTGGTTTCTTTTTGTCCTTAATTATTTCATTTCATTATTCGATCAATATCTTAATATATGCTTTCTGGCTTAAGTGGCAAATTGTATTTTAGTATCGTTCAGGTGTTGTTCAACTCCCACCGCCACTTGACCGTGTCTTCTTTTAGAGCTTGTTGAGAATTTTCCTCATGCTCTTTAAAAAAGGTGTTAACTCTCAGCATATAGTGTCATTAGTTAGTGAAGGCAATCAAAAGACCATATTTATGCTTATTGGGGAATTTGTCTTTGTTTCTGAGAAGAACTGGCTATTGTCCTCAATTTTGCACAAAGGGTTGTTGCTTTTTTTTTTGTGAGCTATATGATTTTACACTATTAGAGTATGAAAAAAAATGAAATTGCATCAGTGTGAATAGGAAATCAACTATTCTGTGAATGTCCAAAGCTTTTATTTTGGGTTTATTATGGTCTATGAACAAATTAACATAAGGGGTTTATATGAGTTGATTGCCTAAACCAAGGACAATATGTTGTATGATTATGTAGGATTTCTTTTGGTATGACAAGGGGATGAACCTTTTTTTAATAATAACTCTTTCCTTGGACGACGACTTTTTTAAAAAAATGCCAAACTCAACCTTTGCTATTGTCCTCAAAAATTACAAAAATGAGTTTGGCATACATCTGTTAGACTTTTGATCCATAGAGAAAGGAAGAGAGAATTAAGGATATGATTGATGATAGATGGTGTAAATATGTAATGATGGGAGAGGACGTGGTAGTAAGATTTTCTAGCTTTACACTGGAAATTGTGAGCTTAGGTTCAAAACTAATTTGTCTGTTGCAGTGTTACATGAAAAATATAGCAGATTTATATATTACCATTTACCAGTAGTTAATTATATATGTTTTGTAACAATATAGATTTTTAATTCAATATTCTAGTGCATAGGGAATGCTCCTTTTTGTGGAGACTATGAACTATATTTCAGGATGAAAGGGAGGGATAACTAAACCATTGAGTTCTTTTATTCCTTCATTTCAGTAGTAAACAGAAATAAAACTGGAGGTTATGTCAACCGTCCAAATCTTGATAGAAAGGAAGGAATGATCATGTTTTCACTTCGGTTTCTAGTTTTACCAAACAACACATGCAAAATGACAGAGTTGAAAAAGCTCTCAGGCACAGAGTCCAATATTTATTTTTAGAAGCCCCTTCAGGGTGTCTAAACTCCTCTCCGGTGGTCCTTCACCACCGGAGCTGTCCCTTCTTTTTTCTTAGACCCACTTCCTCCATCTTTTCTTTCCTCCAAGATGGAAAACAACATTGCTTTTCGAATGGGGGTAAGGCGTATGATATCACATCCACATCGGCGACAGGAGAATGGTACGAATGGGTGGAGACCACTAGACTCTCAGTGAGGAATATGGTCCTTAGCAAGGATGCCCTTTTATGGCTTTGCAAGAGATTCTGTGAAGCCTCGGTTAACAGGGGAAAGAGTTTTAAATCGTGGAGATGTAGGGATGTCTCAACCTACATTTATTGCTCTCAAAAGTTCAATAAATATGGAAGATTTATGTCAGTCATATCTGTCAATGGTCATAGAAGAACTATCATTATTATTCCGGAAAACACTTTTAATGAGGGATGGGAGAAAATTGCAGGAAAAATTGAAAGCTTCATTAATTTAATTTCTCGTACAAAGGCAGTGAACACCACAGCTGGGGCCTTTATAAGCAAACCTTTCACTGGAAATGGAAATTACAAAGGAGCTGTCACAAACAACAAATGGATCCAACAGATCCAAGCTAAAGCTCCGATGAAGAATTGTCTTCAGGAGGAGAATACTTTGCTCCGCAGATGCTTGGTAGGAAGGTTTTCTGGTGGAGATGAAGCCCCTACTCGTAACGACGTGAGGAGATGGGCAAATCAAACCTGGAAGGGAGTCCTCAACCTTCAGGTGTACGATTTGAACGGGTTCCTATTTCTGTTCGAGTTCCAGACAAGAAGAGACGCCGAACAAATCCTCATGGGGGAATGGAGGAGACAAGGGCAGTACCTGAACCTTGAGTGGTGGTCGCCGACCACATGTGCACTGCCGGAAACCTTCAGGTTTGAATGGTTTTGGATCAGAGTGCTGGGTCTTCCATTGCATTTATGGAACTCAAAGATGATGAAAGAGATTGGGGATGCATGTGGTGGATGGCTTGAGAATGAAGAAGAAACCGAGCTGAAAAAACCACCTTCGATGGGCAAGGATTAGAGTCAGGGGACCGAAAGAAAAGATTCCGACATCTATTGAAGTGGCGGACGGTGACCTCATCTACTCCCTTCCGATATGGTGCGAGTTACCGGCACTATACCGGAAAAAGCAAGAGGCTTCGCCGTCTAGAGAGGTGGAGATTGAACCAGGATTCAGATCGTCAAACATCTTGGCCCAACGGTCAGAAGCTTTACACAAAAATGGGAGACTGGCAGATGGAGCAGGTACATCGAAACTCGATATATACGAGAAAGGGGGAAATTCAGCTGACAGAAATCACGTGGCTGGACACGTGAAATTTTTGAATTCACAGGACCAATGGGTGTGCCCTAGAAATTACATGCGTAGAGAGAATATAAGTGGGGCCCATGATTTAATTGCTGATGGCCTCTCAAATGGGCTCACTAAAGGAAAGCCCAATGAAATTCCTTTGAAGCCCAAAGACATCCCTTCTGCAGCCTTTAAATCAGGCCCTGAAATTCTCAACTTTACAGAGCCTTTTATTGAAGCGATTATGGAAAAGAATCTGCCAGAGAATCGAAACTTTGTGAATTTCGATGGAGCTAGAGAAATTGAGTTTGACAAGGGAGGGATCCCTTTAGCGAGGCGAGGGAGGGGAAAGAAGAATGGCACGAAACACAAACAAAAATTTAAAGAGGGAGATAATTTGGCTATACAGAAGACTGCTGAAAGCAAACAACAGAGAACAGGGGAGGAGATAGATTTCTCTGATGCAATGGTCGTCATGTATGCAGATTCAGAACCGGTACCAATCCAAATTGATAGCAGCAATCAAGAAAGAGATGTTGAAGCTACGGCCAATGAATGGGTCCAAGCTAACATGATCAGTTTGAGCCAGCACTTTGGAATTGACCTCAAAGGATGCCAAAAAGAAGCATACGCCTTGTTGAAGAAACTTGACCAGCGAACAGGGAAGGAAAAGATGGCAGGAGAGGGTCAAAAGAGCAACAATACAATCAACTCAATCCCAAAGGAAGTTAGAAGTTTAATTTTTGATGTGAACTTCAAAGATGGTGAACCAAGATCTAATGGGAGGACTCTATCTCTGAAACAAAAATGAGAGTAAAAATCTTCTCTTGGAATGTAAGGGGTTTAAACGGGGAGAATAAGAGGGAGCTTGTGAGAAAGCTACTGAAGCAATGGGGGGCTGATATAATAGTTTTGGTTGAGACTAAATTGAATGGACAAATTGACAACATTCTACAAAGCGTCTGGAATAATAGATGGGCAGGGGTACTAATGAAAGAGGCCCAGGGTAGTAGTGGTGGAATCATGATTTTATGGGACAAGAGAGTTTGGAGGGGGGAATTACTTTTGGTTGGGAGTCAATGTTTAACTGGGAAATTCTGTGGAATACATGATGACTTCAATTGGTGTATTACTGCAGTCTATGCGGACTGTGATACAGTGATCAGAAGAGTGCTCTGGCAAGAACTTCTACAGATGAAAATTAGCATTAATGGACCATGGGTTGTCTGTGGTGACTTCAATGTCACCAGGTTTGCTACAGAAAGAACAAACTGCAACAGGCAAAATGGTGCCATGACAGAATTCTCAGCTTGCATTGAAGAACTAGAGATGGTAGATCCTCCTTTATTTGGAGGATCTTTCACTTGGAGAAGGGGGGAGGATCATAATTGTGCCTCCAGGATCGACAGATTTCTCCATTGTGCAGAATGGGGAGAAAATTTCACTCAGATAAATCAATGCAGTCTTCCAAAGATTGCTTCTGACCATAACCCAATCATGTTGTCTTGTGGTGATGAAGGGTGGAGAAAATCATATTCTAAATTTGAAACATGGTGGCTAGAAGTTGAAGGTTTCAAAGAAAAAGTTAGAGAGTGGTGGGAATCCTTCAATGTGAATGGAAGACCAGGATATATTCTGGCTGAAAAATTAAAGATGCTGAAAGCAAAGCTTAAAGAATGGAGCAAAACCAATAAGGGAAATTGGAAGCAAAGGAAGGAAGATATCCTGAGCCAAATCTCAAGCTGGGAAACAATTCAGGAACAAAGGCCACTCACTGACGACGAGATGATACAGAAGACTCACTTGGGTATGGAATTTGAAGAAGTGGCAAAGCAGGAAGAGATAGCTTGGAAACAGAGATCTAGAATCCAATGGCTAAAACAAGGGGACAAAAATACTAAATTTTTTCACAGGATTGCAACCACTCATAAAAGGTTCAACTCAATGGAACAGCTGGAGGTGGAGGGTGAAATCACCAAGGATCAAATCAGGATTAAAGAAGCAGCGCAGGAATTCTATAAAAACCTCTACAAAGAGACTGAAGGGTGGAGACCTGATCAAAGAATATTAGATGTTTCAAGAATTTCTGAAAAAGAGCAGGTGTGGCTGCAAAGACCCTTTGAGGAGGAGGAAATTTTGGGAAGCTTAAACATGTGTGCAAAAGAGAAAGCACCTGGCCCTGACGGATTCCCAATGATGTTTTTTCCAAACTTTTTGGACCCTATTGAAGGAAGATATTATCAAAACTATTCAGTTTTTTCACTCCAATCAAGTTTTTGAAAAGAGTTTTAATGCAACTTTTATTGCTTTAATTCCAAAGAAAGCGGGAGCCTCCAATTTGAAGGATTTTAGACCAATCAGCTTAGTAGGGGGTGTCTACAAACTCATTGCTAGGCTGTTGGCTGAAAGATTGAAGCAAGTGTTGGATAAACTGATCAACAAACATCAGATGGCTTTTGTGAAGGGGAGACAAATCATGGATGCTGCACTCATAGTTAGTGAATGCATTGACTCCAGAATAAAGGAAGGAAGCCCAGGCTTAATGTGCAAACTGGATATCCAAAAGGCTTTTGACCATGTAAATTGGTCTTTTCTCTTAAATATCCTTAGCCAGATGGGCTTTGGGGACAAATGGCTGAAGTGGATTGAGACATGCATCAAAACTGTTAAATTCTCTGTGCTTGTGAACGGAGAACCTGTGGGTTTTTTTGAATCAGAAAGGGGGCTGAGACAGGGTGATCCTCTCTCCCCTTTCCTGTTCATCCTAGCAATGGAGGGATTTAATGCTATGATGAGGATTGCTACACAAAATAGATGGATCAAAGGCTTCAAAGTGGGAGGCAGAGGGGCGGAAGAAAGAGAAATTGGTCATATGCTCTACGCAGATGATACCATCATCCTTTGTGATCCTGTAGAAGAACAGATAAGCTACATCAGAGTGATATTGGTACTTTTTGAAGCAGTCTCTGGTTTGAAAGTGAACTGGGGAAAAAGTAGTCTCTTCCCTGTGAATGAGGTACCTCAGATAAAAGAGATGGCAGGCATACTAGGGTGTAGTGTTGGGAAGCTGCCTACCACCTATCTAGGCATGCCATTGGGTAACAATCACAAAGCCTTGGAAATATGGGATGGTATTTTGGAGAAAACTGAAAAGAAGCTCTCTGGATGGAAGGCTCAATATCTTTCACTTGGAGGACGATTGATCTTAATAAACTCTGTTCTTGATTCTCTGCCCACTTATGTGATGTCTCTATTCCCAATCCCAGGAAAAGTAGTGGAAAATTTGGATAAGCTAAGGAGAAAATTCTTATGGCAAGGCAACAAGGATGGAAAAGGCTATAGCTTAGTAAACTGGGAAACTGCTCTACTTAGCAAAGACAGAGGGGGGCTGGGAATTAAGAACTTGAAACTACAGAATGAGAGCCTATTGAAGAAGTGGCTGTGGAGGTACACTGAAGAGAGAAATTCCCTCTGGAAAGAGGTGATCATAGCAAAATATGGTGAGTTAAACCCTTGGTGTACAGAGATCACAACAGAACCTTATGGTGTGGGTGCATGGAGATCAATTAGAAACTTGTGGTCACAAATGGAGACAAATTTATATATCAAGGTGGGAAGTGGCACTAAAACAAAATTTTGGAAGGATGTTTGGATAGACCAATCCCCTCTTAGAGACCTCTTTCCAGATCTCTTTCAAATTTGTGGAAATCCTGATGCCAATGTTGGCGATTGCTGGACTGAACAGGGCTGGGATCTAGTTTTTAGAAGACTTCTCAATGATTGGGAGGTGGAAAGGGTAGCTGAGATATTAGGGATGCTAGGCGGAGTGACCATCAATGCAAATGCCACAGACAGGATGTTGTGGAAGCACAGCAAAGATGGCCTCTTCTCAGTCAACAGTGCTTACAGAAGAGGTCTCCAGGTGATGGCAGGGAGACCAACACACCTCTGGAACTATTTTTGGAAGGGGGATATTCCTACAAAAGTGAAATGCTTCACTTGGCTAGTGATAAAGAGAGCTTGTTTAACACAAGAAGTACTTCAGAAGAAGGGTAGACAGCTGGTCCCTAGGTGTTTTTTATGCAATTTGACAAGTGAAACTAACAGCCACCTCTTCTTGCACTGTAATTACACTGCTCAAATCTGGAATTTGTTCCTTAGCATCTCAAATCTGAATTGGACAATGCCAGAACGTACATCAAACGTGTTGAAGAGCTGGATAAGGAGAGGGGGTACCAAGAGCCAGAAGAGATGGTGGAGGTTAATACCATCATGTATATGGTGGTCAATCTGGAAGGAAAGGAACAGTAGATGTTTCGACAATAGATCCAATTCCATACACAAGGTCAAATGGAATTGTATAGTATCTCTACTTTTTTGGTGTAAACAGCTGTGTATAGTAGATACAGATCAGATTGTAGATTTGATAGGAAGTTTGTAATTGACACTTTTTGGTGGTGGCCAGCATGCCCTTAATGCTGAAGAATACAACCTTACCAGTTTCAAAAAAAAAAAAAAAAACACATGGGTAAGGACACTTGATGTATGAAATGTATAACTAGCGTTCATCTTCCTGGTCCCTACCTTGTCTCTCCTTTCTCTGTTGAAGTAAAAGGATGTATAATGAATGTTCACATACCTGGCCCCTGCCATTTCTCTGCTTTCTCTGTTGAAGTAAAAAAACTACTGTAGCAAAGTTGTGATGAGGATCCAAAATAATTTGCCTTGTATAATTGACATACATTTAGCTTTAATCTCTTGGATATACACAATAGAGATATGTTGTGGTTTGAGGGAAAGTTAACTGGGTCCTTGTTGAATAGTATTATTTTGATGCTCGTTATGTGATTTGCAGAATAATATATAGACAGAACACATAGTTTATCCCCCTGACCTTGAGGTCAAATCCTTGTGATACACATCTCCAACACGAGCAGCCCTTTACACACTCAACCTTTTCTAAGCGTGTCTAAAGATGCCAGTGTGGTTGAATAGTTTTTCAAACAAGTGTTTGTCATGCTCCAGTAGGCCGTGACTCGTGACACTTGTCAAACATTTTTGCCTTGAGGACATATGCACTGTTGATTTTTTTGGGATCAAGAGATATAGTACTTGCTAATTTCTTTTCCGTTGTGAATAACATAAAACAACTTTTGTACATGGTTCTTGGGTCGTAGAGCCAAATGAGAGATCATTAGCTTGAACGATATAAGTGGTTTGTGAGTGTCTGTTGACTTCCATTGGTATAACTTGATTTTCTTAATGCAGGAAAAGGACAGTGAAGGCTCAGACGAGGATGATGATGAGTGAATTCTTATACTACCTCTTTTCGAGTTATCATCTCCAAAAGTTTTGTTGAATAGGTTTTGGTGTCTGTAGAGAGGCTTTAAAATGTTGGGAATTTAGGTGAGGTCATGCAATTGCTAACGTAACTCTACATGTTTTTTGAACTTTGATGGTTTTATTAAGTTTAAGCAGCACCCCCTTTTCATTGATTAATGTCTTAATCATACCGTTGTTCGCAAGGGAGGGATCAATGGAGTGTAACTTGTTCGAGAACTCGAAGATTTTACCTGGCAAATCACTTTTTATCTTTATTGATTCTGTTTAAGAGTGATACATGTGATGATTGTTTCATATCTCTCCTAGTTCATTTTCTTTTCTGTTTTAATTACCAAAAGCATGGTTCTTAGTTGAGGAACTGTTTTTCTTTACAATTTCTCTCTTTTTTTTTGTTAAAATAAGGTCACATAAATACCTTTGTGAAATTAATTTATACAAAGGTAAGGAATCAGAGTGTAATGCGACACCTCATTTGTCTTATGGCTGACATTATTAGATATGGAAACAGCGGCCACCTATTTCTTCTATTTTCCAGAGCTTTTATGGCTGACTATCATTCATGTCACATTTTAAGGTTCTATGCAGATCCCCCAATAATGTATACAATTATGCCTTCTGCTTTTTAATTTATGTGACCTTATTTTAACAAAAAAAAGTTTTAAATTTTAAAACAACTTAGCTTAGATATTTATGTTCTTGTAACAATTTTTAATATCTGCTCAAATGTTCTACATATTTAAAAATCACATTTTTTAATAAAAAATATCATAACATATTTAAGATTCTAAATTTCATATCCAGTTAAATAAAACACATTAATTGAAATAGAAAAACAGTTGTGATAAGCAGTTTTATTAAAGGTACCTTGAGTTTTCTTGTAGTATTAGTATTTGTTTCCTTTAAGGTTTTGGGCACGTGCCACTAATATATTGTAGGGATCTACGAAACTAATTTTTAGGACACACTAAATAATGATTGTACAATAATTAATTAGATCCTCATTTTCCATTAATATTAAAGTTTTGTTGAAAATAGTTTTTGCAACAATTTTCTTTTCTTTCTGAAAGCTTTTCATCGAAATTTTCAAGCAAGCACGTGCATGGCATAAACTGATTTGATTGCAGTGAAAAAACACTAACTCAATGATAGATGATAGCTTTTTTCTTTTAAAAAATATTTTTAATAAAATATCCATTTAATATGGGACGGAAGGAGTAAATGCTTTCTGGCTTAAATGACAAATTGTAGATAAGTATATATCCTTCCTAATTGATGCATCAGTAGCATCTTGAGTGGCCGATACTTGACTCGCATATAGCGACACCATATTTATCTAATGGGTGGTATTAATGTATGTATAAATGATACCGCGATCGATTTCTTCGCTTTATGTCTTTGTCATTGAACTACTATTTTTTCGTATTCATTTTTTCCTATGATGAGTCGTAATTTGACTATTTGGAAGTTAAGGTTATGTCCCCCTTCTTTATTTGTATGTTCCTCTTTTGGTATAGTTTATAAATACTCCCACATGACTCTATTACTCCAGATGCTCATATTTAGATCCCTATTTTGGATCAAAGTAACATAACAAATAAACAATTATTATAAATAGTTATAATTGTGGCAGTTAATAATTTTATGAAAGATTAATTATCAAAATTATAATTAAAATTTCATTTTAATCCGTTAAATCTTAGGCAATAATTTTCACTTATGTCACGTGTTTAAATCCAAAAGTCAAGGAAAATGGAGTATAAGAGAAATAGATTAGAGTAGGAGCCAAATATTTCCTTCTCTCTTAATGTTTCTTTCTAATATGATTGTTCATCGAATTAAAAGTCTTCATGGTAGGTGAATTAATTATTGTTATCGAATTAAACACCGCCATTGTAGTTGTCGATTTTTTCTATATATTTGAGCATGTGAGACGTCAACTATTATCTATCAATTATCACAAATTAAAATAATGAAAGGGTGCATTAATATTTTGGGTCTGACTTTGTTCCTCATACAAATAATAATAATTAATTCTAAGAAGAGCTTAGCGAGCTCGTTATCTCTTCGTTCTGATAAAGATGAACAAATGTGCGGATACGAAAGTTGCTACGAAAAATGTCCTACTGGACAGTGTTGTAGTTGGTTGGGTTATTGCGGAACAACGTTTAAGTATTGCGGCTATAAGTACTGTCACCTCCAATGTCCATCTCCACCCTCACCTCCACCCCCATCTCCACCTCCACCGGGACGATGTGGAGTGCAAGCAGGAGGTATAAAATGTCCTGATGGATCGTGTTGTGGTGAAGAAGGTTGGTGCGGAACAACAGAATATTATTGCAACCCACAGTGGTGTCAAAGTCAGTGCAAAATTCCATATTTGTCCACTGAGAATCGCACGATAGGTATAATACACTAAAACCTTCTTACTCATCATTTGGGTAAAGTGGGATCAAATATTAATGCATTAATATGCATCATCTATTACATATATAACATATGCATTTAAGAACATAATATCCAAGTCTTTTTATATATTAAGAACCTTTCACAAAAAGCATTTGCAGATTTTATATATATAATCAAGCTAAACATAAACAAGATGACGTACTCGGCGATCCGCCGACTGCTTCTTTCCTCGCCGTCTGTTTTTCTTCCCTCAGGGCTTGGCACACTAGAATTTTAGCTGGTCTGATTAGCCACTCAGTGATATGCCGAGTGTCCTTTCTTTGTTTCTTAATTCATATACCTTAAAATCAAGGGTTTTACATCAGTTATTGGCACAAAATGAGCATTTGAGGACACTACTTCTATATAAACAAAGCCCTAAAAGAGTTTAAATCACGGACTCATCACCCCACGATCCTTCACATAGGCCGTGATCTTCACCACGAGCTGTGAATTGGCTCGTGAGAGGGAGCCTTTTTGGGGCACCTTTAGAGAGGCTACTGCCTCACTACCACGGGTGGCACCACGGGGCATGGTGGTCACCATGGGTTGTGAAGACTCTCGTGGTCATGGCAGGTAGTGCCTTGGCCAAATTTCGAGCAGCCTTGGCTCCCATGCCTTGGCCCTTTCCCCTTTTCCTTGGCTCTTGCCCTTCTCCCTTGACGCTAACCCTCGCGTTTAGGTCTAGTTTAGCCTACTAGTTTTCGGGGTTTACATTTACTTTGGAACTACGTTTGACCTGATTCTTATTTTGACAAAACAACACTTCTCTATGATCAATATCACATTTTCTCCTTTTGTTGATTTTTTTTTCGATTTTAATTAGATAACCTATTAAATAACACACATGAGTTAATTGAAATATTTATGACTATCAATAAAGCTCAAACAACTTATTTCCTTGTCAGTTCTTGTAGTAGCACATATATAATTCTAGTTGGATGGTTAGATTAAACCAATTAGGCGTTTATTAGGAAAGATTCGTTATTTGTATATATGTTCCTCTTTTAGATGGGGGATCGCTACAAGATTTCCTTGCTTCTCTCTTATTGCTTCTTTCTAAAAATTGTTCATCATCGAATTAAACATATTTATCTAATTTTTTGGTGATATATTTGAGCATATATGAGACCACATCGATCTAAATAAATTATGGTGCGCGTAGATGACTACGAGTGCGGACGTCAAGGTTGCTACAAAAAATGTCCTTCTGGATCGTGTTGTAGCATATGGGGTTATTGCGGAACTACAAAAGACCATTGTGGCAAACCGCGGTGTCAAAGCCAATGTCCACCTCCACCTCCACCCCCACCTCCACCTCCATACGCAATCGGACGATGCGGAATGCAAGCTGGAGGTAGAAAATGTCCTACTGGATTGTGTTGTAGTTCATCTGGTTGGTGTGGAACCACAGAATATTATTGTGCCAAACAGTGGTGTCAAAGTCAGTGCAACACTATAACTTCGTCCACTATGAGTGGTACTGAAACCTTCTTGCTTGACGGTGTTGTCTAGCTAAATGTTATTATAATGCATTAATTAATGTACTATAATAAATAAAGGACTTTTGTATAAATTAAAAATATTAAATTAGTAGGTTCGTGGTATAAAATCGTCTTTCCTATATAAGCAACATGCATCACATACGCTTCATATTGTTTACATAAATTTAGGAACAAAATATCCACTCATAAAATGTTGCGTACTTCCCAAATGATACAACATCTACATCTATTATTTATGCATTTAAGCAAGTTGTCATGAAGTTACAAAAATATCCATTGCTACGTTGGAATTTGGATGTTGTGTGATTGCAAAATAAGCTGCATGTTCTTTTCGAAGCTACATCATCTCTCGAATTCGAAACCTCTAATTAAGGACGCAACAGTGCACCATAACCCATGTTGATAAGTCATGAACATTATTAGTACTACTTGAAAACTATAAGGAGGTTGCTCTTTTTTTCCGCGAGTAGTTCAGGCACTGCCAGAGAATCTATTGAAAAAAGGACATATACATCTATTTAATCAACCAAAACTCATATTATTTTATTTTATTTCCTATGCATAAGGCACTACAATTAAACGTACCAAAAGATGAAGCAACGATAAAAAAAAAATACGATTATTAATAGCATCAAATTAAAAGAGGGTGCTAATTTGTGCTGGCCATCATCTACTTTAACCATCTTTTTATTGATTATTCTCCTTAATTCATTCAAGCACAATCAAATTTTAAATTTCTCCTAATTAAGTTTTTTATAGTAATTATTTATGAAAATTCCTCTTGTATTAATTAGTTTGAAATGCAAAATTACCAATTTGTAGGAATAATATATGAAAGTTTCATACAATTATGTTGTAATTGGATTAAATTTTCAGAAATCAATATGAGCAAATATTCATATTTCATATCGAATTTGTACAATTATCATACATAAAGATTGCGAACGGAATTCTAAACCTTGAGCAGATATAGATATTTTATATCGATTTATATAATGGTCATACATGAAATTGTCTTGAACAAGATATTCACATTTCATTCTGATTTTAAATCGTTTTAATACACAAAATGTGAACCGAATTTTACGTCTCGAGCGAGATTCTTAAAGTATGATTTCGTGTATGTATTGAGAAAAAAACTCTTACTATGTCTGACAAATAAAAAAATCTGTTACATTTAGTAAGTATAAATCTAATTTTGTACATATAGAAAATTCTCGAGTTCAATGTAAAAAAAGACATTTTTTTCTTCACAAGGATATGTCCTGAAGAATACAACCCAAAATGGCCCATTAACATCTACGTTTAACATACGATGT